GTAAACGGAATCGGGAGTCTGCGCCGCAAGTTGCATTTTAGGCGGAGTATGGAGGAATTAGCGTGTCCCACGGTCCTGGATCCCATTCCTGCGCATGTTCGGACGGGGAAACCGCTACGCTTCGACAGCTGATGGCTCGTTAGCCCCGAGGACGCGCCTGCGCCTTGTAGTTGAGCGTACAACGTGTCTTTGGGTTTGTTTTTCGTGCCAATTGGAAAACGCGTGGGAATTGTGACTACCGGTGAACGGGTACTCGCATCATATTGCTTGAAGGCCCTGCCTGAGATTGCCGGAGGGGTGGGGGCTGGATAACGGCGCCCTTCTTGTTGTGAAGTGTTGATGAATCGGTTTCGCTTTGTATGGGTTATATGGCAGAGAGAATGCCCTTTTCCCATCCCTTCCCCCCACCCAGTGGATACCCATCTACCACGTAGTGTTCCGAGTTGAGTGGCTTGGCACAGTTACGTTCATACTTCTCAGCGACGGTTCTAAATCACTTTCAAGAGGAAATACAGTGCAAAACGTGTTTCAAACGTTTATCGGCGAAATTCACATGAATTTATATATAGTGAAATGATCACTGTTCATTGCGTGACTTATTTTTACGAGACTTGATAAAACTTCAATTATAAGAAACAATTATAACCTTCAAATTCATCTTCGACGAGACGTTGGTTTACGGTGACTGCAAGTAAAAGACAATAAAAGACAGTTGTACCAAAATACCTAAAAAATCAATTGTCACGAATCGCGTACAGTCCTCCTAGCTGCGCATGCTGGGGCGCCTTATGGGCGGGTTTGGCGCAACACCAGCCTGTTTTCCACCATTTATGGTCGCTTGATCTCCTCAACAATTGGTGGGGAACGGGCAGGCGCCGCACCAAATTCACCCACCCCCTCCTAGGCCGCACCATCCGCAAACCAGGCCACAGATTGTGCTGGAGTATCCCCAACAGGGTCGCAGTTGATCACTAAAAGGCAGGGAGCTGGGAGCTGCTTTCTCCCGTCTACATATACCCCCCCTCCACAAGTTGGCGCTGCGGCAAAACTAGTTCTAGTAGCTGACTGAAGGTGTCTATCCCGCACCCCCCCCCCCCCCTCGCCCCTCCCGCTTGACAGCAAAAGTTCAGGAAGATAGCCGGCAGTCTGTTCAAGTAGATGGCTTAGCAGGAGACAGGGGGGCACGTATAGCAGGAACTCTCCTTCTTCAAAGCCCGGCTAGAACCGAGGACGAGGTGACCTGGTGGAGTACTAAATTAGCCTCCCCCCCCCTCGCAGAACTACCTCGAAAGCATGATCGACCCGATTCGCAACATCTACTTAGAAATAGAACTCACAAGCCTTTCGACTTCTTGAATTTCATCTGAAAATTTCGTTTTTCAATTGTACCGGCTCGAAATTATCCTAGTATGAAGTCCTTATAAGTGTGATAACACTCACTTTATCTGCCCCTTCAGCTGCCTCCTTTGATTCCTTCATGTCATCACCGCCACCAGTCCTAGCATCGACTTTCACTTTAGGTGGGCTTTCAGCCACGAACCTTTCGAAAACGGACTTTTCGTTGTCGGCGCCCTGAAAAAAGACCGAAGATTTTTGTATTTTTCAGTGGTACGTAATATTTATGCTGAATTAGCAAATGAATTGGCGAACTGCAAAATGCCTTGCCAAAATGCCTCTCCAGTGTCCAGTTTCTTTTCTGAGAATTATTTAAGGGACATGCCTTATCGGGGTTAACCATGATAGATGCCTCATTTGAGAAATGCTGCTTGATGAATGCAACAACCTATAATTGAAACGAGAACACATGTTCAAAGACAAAGTCCACGATAATCGTATGACCGGAGACAGTCCACGATCGCGCCTTCCCCATTGGCGCGCACCTCTTGCTGTCATCCCTCAAAAAAAGAAAAACCCACTAATGAGAAAAGGCACTGCTGTGACCAGGATGGGCGCTGAGACTGGGTTATGACCCGTTTGCAATACAAAAGGCGGTTCAGTGGAAATTTTAATTCTTATGTGAAGAGAGAGCGTAACGGCGTAGGACGAGTGTCTCCTACGCCACCAAAAACGTTGAATGCCCACACATAAACAAATCTACAGGTTTGCCCCGCCTCCATGAGAGAAGGAGAGGGAGCTCGACATTGACATAGACATGATAAAGGGAAGGAGGTCGTCGACGACGCTGTAGATCTGGCTCCACTCATATGTTCAAAGCGGACTGTGCCCTCAAGCGTTATCAGGTCAAATCTTACCTCGGTCATGGTAGCTCTAGCTGAAGGGTCCTTCACGTATACTCGATCTCTGACAAAATTTCGAAATTCCTCTGGACAGGAATCAGGCAATGTCAACTGTTTTCCTTCCAACGAGCTTCAAAAGGTGGCTCATTTAAATCGAATCCTCAAGTTTAAAACGCTTAGGTGGTGATAGTGAGAAAAGGCCACCCCCTCGGCCAGTCCGCGCCTTTTCAGCTAAATACTGCTCGTTACTAAATTACAACTTTAGGAAAACTGACGCGATACAGTATGTGAAACTGCGCGTAAAATCAAGTGCGTAGGACTGGCCGAGTGCACACATTACTCCTCACATCGCGTCTAGAAAATACCTGACTGCGGATTGAGAGCGGAATTAGCTTCTCGCGCACTCCTTAGCCCCCGGAGCTCCGCCCCTTCCACGGTATGAACAGTTGTATGCGTCCATGGGACCAACACATTTAATTTCACGCGTAGTTCCTGTGGTACTGTATACGGCCTGTCTTCCTGCACTTATAATCCTGTGTGTTCGTTTGGTTCGGACTGACATCAGTGAGGACGCAGACTAGAAGAAAATGGGCGTGGCGAAGTCGCACTCCACTCTCCCCCAGCTACACTCTACATCCCGGCGTCGGAGGGGGCGTGGCTGCGTACTTCATCGGAACATAGTATATGATGCGATAGTTCCGACTGACATAATTGTCATCTTGTATGGTACTGGATGAAGGCATACTTACAGCTGTTGCGGAACGAAAAGGTTCCACTGGGAGCTAAATCGCTTCCAAAGTTCAAATGAAGTATTTGCCACGCTCTCTGTATCTCGGTGATTGTGGATCGTACCTTAGTATTACGAGCCGCTTACCCCTTTCTTAACTTCCGCATTCGAATATCCATCCCATGGTTCTTTTCCGTTGGTGAATATCTCATACACCATTACCCCATAGCTGAATACGTCGGTTTTCAGGGAGAAAGTGAATGTAGCGATCGTTTCCGGAGCCAACCATTTGATTGGCAATTTTCGTGGGCTACGAATCGTGTAGTTCACCCCTAATCGTGACAGTCCAAAATCGCTGATTTTCACCTGAAATCAAATCATTCGGCACCTCATGTAACCCTGACAATGGTCTGCAAACTGACCACTTTATCCTGTGAATATAAGCAATTTCTTGCAGCCAAGTCCATATGTATACAGCTTTGCTTGTGAAGATATTCTACACCTTGGGCTGCTCCTCTGCACATGGTCACTTTTTCAAAAACGCTGACTTTGTTCTGCATTCCCCCGTAGATAGACGTTCAGAGCACCACCTTAAAATCAATATCAACTTAGCCCTTATCCTGTGAATCAGATGCAAACGATTGTGTGTCGTTAAGTAAAGAAAAAAAAAGCTTGGTTTTTTCAACTACGATGTCCTAAAGGGGTCCGCTGAAGTGGAGGGGACCATCTAGCAAACATCTATAAACGTTTAGTGTTATCACTGAGCACCCGCGCTGATTTTGCCCTAAATGGGCACACTTCCTGGTAATGGACAGTTGTGCACTGCTCCGTTTCGAGCTTTGATGCTCTAGCTCGCTAGTTTGTGAGAGCGATGAGGTCAAAAGATCGTGAAGCGGTACGGGCGATTGTTATGTCCCCAGAGCCTCGGAGAGGGAGGGAATGTGGCACAAAGGGAGCGCGGGGGCAGGCGCATCCCTAAACTCGAGGGCAGTCATAGCATAAGCCCTCTGACAGCGTAGGCAACCGGTTACGTGACCACTTGCCCTTTTGTGGACCGTCCTGTTGCGAAACCTTGCGTGCGTATAACTAGAGAACAGCGCTGCGAAAGCACCGAGAAGTGCAAAAAAACATGTCACAAGCCAGGGGATTGGTTTGTTCAAGAGGACGGTGAGCGAAGTTTTTGTCTTGTGTGAAAAGCCGGAATGTGTGAGGACATTAATTATAATACAGTAATTATGGAGCAAGAGTGCAAACAGAAGCAGAAAGCTGTCGCTATCGAAGGGAGTGAATCCGAATTGCTCGTAGACCTTGAAAACCGGCTTGGCTGTCAGCTGCGGAGAGTATAGCCGGTTGACGCTGCTCTCCTATTCCTCAATACTCTCTCAGAACACCAGCGGTCGGCCCCGATCGATATGCATCTGCTGCGTTCCCGTCTACTGAACTGGCGGCGCGCCTTTGCATCGGTAGCACGACGACGCGCGTCATCGCCAAGTGTGAACGCAGCCTAATTTCTTTGATCGCTTCGGTACAAAGCAACATTTTTAAACGTCGTTACTAACCTTTAACTAGTTCTAGCAGAATGTATAGAGGCTGCTCATCCACCGCTACACCGTATAACCTGACGATATTTCGATGTTTAAAATTACGGATAAGCCGGGCTTCTCTCATCATTTCTTTGATTTTTGCTTTACTCATTTCTCCGGTTCCTTTTGTCTGAAAGGTCCAATGCCATAGGTGCGGGAAGTGAATGTGTTTTAATTTGCATATTTAAGTCTAAAATTTCAATTATAGCAAAGTATGTTTCCGTCGCTTACCAACTTTACGGCCACTTCAAGAGTTTGCTGCCTTCTTTTCACCGTTCCTTCCCGTACTTCACCGTATGCGCCTTCTCCAATAAGCTTTCCTAGCTGTACGTCACTATGTTGGAATTCCCATCGTTGTTGATGGATCGGAGTTTTCAAAATAAATTTAGCCTGAAGTGGAGTGACAATAGACCCATCCAAGGTGTGCATTACCCTGATTTCACTGACTTTATTCAACTGAGCTGTATTTGTTTGATAGTACTCTAGTAGTTCTTTCAGCGAATCGAATGGTTTGGTTATTTCCACATAGTATTTTGTAGTGAGCTTCCGAATAATGATGTTTTTTATCTGAAAAATCATACTGTGGAAAGTTGATCACAGTTCGCCAAGTTTGTTTGTTTGTCTGGCCGGAAGATTCTTTCCAGCTGAAGAGCATCTTGGAGTGGTCGGGTTAAGACAAACTGGTTCTCACCTCGAGGATTCTGATCCTTGCCACGTGCTAGGATCAGGTGTCTGCAGCTGCGGTAACGCACCACGTTCTGCGCTTCAAAGTGCACGGAACCGGGGCTGGAGAGTTAGGCTGCATTCATACTTTGCGCGATAGCGTCCACCAGTGAGCAGGGGCACGATCTGACCAGTGAGCACCAGCGTTTTGAGCGCCCGTCAGAGTCCGCTGGGACAGTCTGGAAGACGATCTAGCGAACAGCAGCGTCCACCAGCGTCCACGAACGAGCAGGAGTACACTATTGAGTGGTAGTATGGTGCGATGCACTCGCGTACAAGTTTCAAGAGCCTAAATAGCTGCCCCTCCCTCCTACTTCCCCCCATACTCTACTCGCTGCGGCTTATTGTGACGGCTAGACGTGTCCGATTATCGACTATACCTTCCGGCGTTCCGTCGAGAAGCTGATGGTAGGCTGGTGGACGCTGGTGAACCTGGTAGGACGGTAGTCGGATATCGTTGTATTTTTTATCTTGCGTCCCTCAAGACGGCTGCCGCTGATGTTTGTTGGCGGCGCGTTGTAGAAGCGATGCCCCGTTCGCGCAAATCGACATCCTATACTCTCCTCTGGCTCGCTGACAACTAAGACGAGCGCTCGAAACACTTACTTGCGGCTGGTGGAGCTCGTGCGCAGATTATGAGCGCGACCCTAAGAATACTGAAGAGTGCCGTCGGTTCCGTTCTCGCGGTGCTTGCCGGCCAGCTAAAACCTAACCGTGGCCATAGCTGGTAGTGCTGGCACAGTGAGGATGCCATCCTCCACAGCCTGTTCTCGCGCAGGTTTGAGTGGAGAAAGTGGCACAGTACTGCAGCTGCGGACCCATTCGCCTCACAAATGGCAGGGACAGCTCTATGAGGCGAACATACAGTCACCCTTTGAGAACGGTATGGGCAGGGCACGGGTAAAGATGTACGAAGCCCACGTGACCTATGGCACTGATACTGTAATGATCTTCCTTTAACAACTCGCACGCGGAGGGTGGAAAGGGGGGGGGAAGGGTGCTCATTTGGCTGCAGGACTCCGAAGAGACATGGGGTGCATAAAGAAGAATGACACCCCAACGGAAGCGGACGTAAGCTGCGAAAGAGTGCTTCAGCGGTTAACCCGAGGGGTTGCTTAGAGCGCATAAAAGTCAGTGAGTTATTCTGGAGCCAACCAACAGGAAACGTTTTGGTATGTTTGCGGAACCCGATGTCCCGAAACATAACTCGGACCACTGACTGCGAACCTCTGGTGCGCGGGTATGTGACATGGAGACGTAAGATGTCGCTCTGGTGAAGGTGGCTAGCAGCGCCGCTTCCGATGGACGAGCTGTCCCCTATAGCCGTTTGAAGTTGAGTTTCAAAGGGCCGCGAAATTTAGATGTCCTTTCAAGTGTCGAGTATACTGCTTGAATTCATATGAGTTTCGCTGTACCAGTCTCCAAACTGAATCACGTTCAGAATTTACCGCGCACCTGTGCCGCACGCGACAAATGCAACAGGTTACGATTGTCTTGTCCCTCTCCCATGGTGCACAATAGCGTGCCTTCGTCACACTGGTAGTACTACAGCGACTCTGCCCCTAATTTCATTAGACGAATGGCTGTAGATCTACCTCGATCGTGAGCCACTCTTGCGAGAGCAACTATATCCACCCAGTCAGAGTACGACCGGATTGCCATAGCTTCGGCAGAACCACAATACAGGGGGGGGCAAAAAAGACACTTCGACCGAGTCACATATCAGCAAAGTTTTCGCAGCCCAGACAGAGGACGTGGATACGAGTACCAGGGCGGAAGATACCCAAGATGTTCCTCGATAAGCAGGAGCTGCTCGCCCATCACCTTCATGTACACCAAAATATGAAGTCATCTCCAGTCGCAGCCTGACTGGAGAAGACCTTTGGAATTCACGTCACCTCCAAACAGCTGCGAAACTTCTTGTATGGAGCCACTCATGGACAGTTTCCTGCTTGATCTGGAAGACCTCCAACATCGAGCAGCTCCGACAACGTCGCTACGGTCCAGGATATCATCTTCACCGCAGGCGCGGGTTGATGGTATGGACCGGAAGTTCCTGGAATGTGAAGACCGATATTTTCTTCGTGGACCCCGGACTGAAGGTGAGCGCTGACGGTTACATCGACCAACTCGTGGAGAATATCCTGCCTTCATGTCATCGCCTGTACCTTCT